AATACCGAAACGGGCAAGCATTCTCTCTGCTACCTCGGGTCACTTCATCTATCAGCATCAGGCAAGCACACCCTTCCTTTGCGCTCGGATCCCGTGGTCCATTGAGGTTCACCCTTTGCTCCTCCGTCCGGTTGGCCGCATGCGACGCGCCAGGCCCGCGGGCCGTCTTCAAGGATGTCTCCGGGATCGCGTTGGCAATTGCCGTGAACACCTCGGTGACGTTGTAGCCCGTCTTGGCGCTGGTCTCAAAGAACAAAAGGCTCTCCTCTTCTGCGTACGTCTTGGCCTCCTCGGTGGTGATCTTCCTGGCATCGCCCGAATCCTCGCCCCCAGCATCGACGTCCCCGCCATTTCCGGCCCCGTCGTTTGTGAGATCAAGCTTGTTGCCGACAAGCGCAATGACAATGCCGGGGGACGCCTGCCGTTGCAGCTCGGCAACCCAGTGCTTCGCCTTGATCAGAGATGTCGGTTTCGTCAGGTCGTAGACCACCAGGGCGGCTTGCGCGTTACGGTAGTACATGGGCGCGAGGGATGCGAACCGCTCCTGACCTGCGGTATCCCAGATCTCAAACTTGATGGTCCGCGTCGGCAGGTTGCATTTCTGTGTCAGGAAAGCGGCTGCGATGGCATTTTATGTTAGCAGGCAATCCTTTTTTGACGTTTGCAGTGGCATGAGGTACCTCCTATTGTCGGCTCCTTGTTTTCTTGAAAGTCGTTGTTGACAAACCGAAGGACAAGAGACGACTACAGAGACAATCCGGTCAGCCTAAATGCGATGTGTCGGGGGGGAATGGTAGGGGTACCGACCTTGCCGACGGCGGCTTCACCGAGGAGGACCAGCTTGACGCTGCTGCTCGGTTTGGGTGCATTTGAGTCGGCCATTTTGTGAGTTATTGTCCTGCGATCGAGTTGTTGCAAAGGGAAATTTTTTGTTGAGGTAGGGGTCTTCGTGATGCGAGTCGTCGTGGGGGCCGGGTGATGTGCTGCTGCTGTGGGTGCGTGTTCCCTGGAGTGGCACGAGGAATGACGTGATAGGCAGACGATAAATGGAGCCGCAGCCAGGGCGAATGCGACGACATCTCGAACCAACGCCAGAGCTGGACTAGCGTGCAGCTCAGGTGCACGAGCCACGGAGCGGAGGAAAGTCAGTTGCCGGCCTATCAGAGCCCAGGCCTTGGCCGTCTTCAAGAACCCACCACTGCCCCACTAAAAAGTTCGAAGCCACGAAAAGTTCACTCTCTTCACGGGCTGTTTGTCCTTTGAAGATTTCCCATTCCTCCATTTTTTCTGCGGCATTGAGTTTCAAAGACTCGGTCGCCTTCGATATGCCGCCGGCTTCCGCGAAAAGCGCCAAGCGCGCCCCCCAGGATGACAAGATTGTCTCCAAGAAGGGTCTGTTCGACGACTCTTCGTCCAGCAGCGAAGACGACCAGGAGGATGGTGGTGCTACTCTAGGGCCCTCGGCCGAGCTCAAGATCAACGAGGAGTACGCTCGCAGATTTGAACACAACAAAAAGAGGGAGGAAATGCACAGACTGCAAGAAAAGTACAAACCGGGCGGCGAGGCGGAACAGGAGTCCGAGTCATCCTCCGACGAAAGCGAGGACGACGAGGCCGTGCTTGCGACCGAGGATCTGGATGCCGAAATATCGGCTACGCTACAGGCGATTAAGAACAAAGACCCCCGGATTTACGACAAGGAGGCCGTTTTCTACAGGCCCTTCGATCCCGCCGCTGAGACGAAGCCGAAGGCGGAGAAGCCTATGTTCCTACGCGATTATCACCGTGAGCGGTATATGAGCGGTGATGTTGGCGCTGACGATGATAGTGCTCCCGCTGTTGACGTCCCGCGGACCTACGTGCAGGAGCAAGACGACATAAAGAAGTCCATCCTCTCCGAGATCAAGGCCGTCGCGGCCGCCGCCGACGACGAAGAGGAATGGAGCGATGATGACGCTTTCATCAAGCCAGTCAAGAAGGACGATGCCCCCGCAGTAAACGGCATTCACCCGTCGCGGGCAGCCAAGATCAGCCTCACCGAAGTCGATGTCGCCAATGCGGACAAGAACCCGGAGGACTATTTGTCCAAGTTCATGGCATCTAAGGCTTGGGCACCCGAGGGGTCTGGTTCCAAGTGGCAAGCATTCGAATCTGACGACGGCGAAGACGGAAACGACATGGCTGACGAGTTTGAGCATGCCTATAATATGCGATTCGAGGACCCCACCAAGAGCAACGAGTTCTTGAAGACCTATTCGAGAAACATGGCCGCGGCCCGCTCGGCGAGAAAGGAGGAGCTTACAGGCAGGAAGAAGCAGAGAGCCCTCGAGAAGGAGCGAAAGGAGGCCGAGAAGCAGGAGCGCGAGGCAGAACGAGCCCGCCTACGACGCTTGAAGATTGAAGAGGCGTCGGGCAAGCTCGCCATGATCAAGAAGGCTGCGGGCATGAGCGGCAAGAATCTGACTGACGAGGAATGGCTGAAATTTTTGGATGATGCCTGGGAGGATGACAAGTGGGAGGAGGAGATGAAGAAGCGGTTCGACGAAGAATACTACGCCGAGGCGGACGAGATGTCACTTGATGAGGAGGAGGAGGAGGACGGGGCAGAGAAGAAGAAGAAGACAAAGAAGCCCAAAAAGCCGAAATGGGATGATGACATCGCCATCGACGACATCATCCCCGATTTCGACGACGAGGCCAAGCCCGCCGTCACCCTCTCAGACGACGACGACGAAACCGCCGGCCCACAGCCCGAAGAAGAAGAAGCAGAATCCGGCGACGAGCGCCCCTCCAAAAAGCGCAAGACCACCAAAGACATCAAAAACGAGCGCATCGCCGCCAAGCGCCAGGCCCGCGCAGACCTCGCCAAGATCGAAGCCCTCGTCGACACCAAGATGGAGCTGGACAACCCACGCGCCCTGCAGCAGCAAGCCTCCTCCAAGGCCTCCTCCTCCAAAGCCCAGGGAGGCGGCGGTTTCCGCTACCGCGAGACCTCCCCACAATCCTTCGGCCTCACGGCGCGCGACATTTTACTCGCACCATCCGACGCGGCCCTCAACGAGTTCGCCGGCCTCAAGAAGCTGGCGACCTTCCGCGACGCCGAGAAGAAGCGCAAGGACAAGAAGCGCCTGGGCAAGAAGGCGCGGCTGCGCGAGTGGCGCCGCGAGACGTTCGGACGGCAGTTTGAGCAGTCCGGCCCGACGTACGGCTTTGAGGCGCTTGTTGGCGGCGGCGGCGAGGAACAAAGATCGCACGGGAGCGGCGCGAATGCCGTTACCGAGAAGAGGAGGTCGCATGAGAAGAAGGAGAAGAAGGAGAATAAGCCTGCTGCTGCTGAGGGGGAGGCGGGCGCGAGTGGGATTGTGGAGGGGGAGAGGAAGAAGAAGAGGAAGAGGTCGAAGAAGGGGAAGAAGGGTGTTGAGGTCGAGGAGTAAGCTCCGTCCGTGTCTTTGTTTATAGTTTGTAAGGTACATGGTTACGGGCGTTGGCTGGTCTTCGTGTCTGGATTTTGGTTGTGCCTTAGTCAGATGCAAGGAATATCTATCTATCTATTATGCTGTTCTCGACCGGTGGTCGTTCGCTGTTTTACTCGTCGAGTCCCTCGGCTTACTGCATGATGCTTCTAGAAACAAAACATTCTCAACTTCATCGAGGACCTCCCATAATGGTGGTTAGTGGGTTGATTTGACTTGATCGATTCTCTCACTCGTACTCGCACTCCGGTCGCACCAAAGGAAGTAGAAGGTAGATGATTACACATTGCCCAATCTTCCCCCAACACATCGCACACCACACACAGCGTGACCCGTCCCGCCGTCCTACGCCAGACGCCGCTCCCAAGACCCTGGCCGGGTTAGAATATGCCCCCAATCCAGGGGGCTTGCCCTTCCTTCCTTTCCTCAGGGCCCATATCCCATCGTACATATTGCGAGTGCTGAGCGTTGAGCATCCTTGAACCAGCAAACCTTCTCCATCCCAATTTGTGCGCCGTGCCCCTCCCTACCCGGCCCAGCCCAATTTCAACCCGCCAAAAAGATATCGTTTGCTCGCTCGCTCAGTTGAATGTGCTCCTCTCCTAGAAGGTCTCACAGAAATACCGCAAGGAAAGCAAACCGCTTCCATGCTCAACTCTTCCCGCGCCTACCCGAGCCACACGAAAAGGTAAAAAAAGAAAAACGTATCGGTATACTACCACAGGACATCCCAATCTCAGGATCCCACTCCCCTCGGCATGCCCCACCTCAAAATTTCCTACTCATAGCTCCCGCGGCCAACGTTTAAAGTAAAGGCTCAACGATGATGCATCCCCCCACCGCCGCCACCGCCACCCCCAAACATACTAGCAAACCCATCCAGCCCCCCTCCCATCCCGCCCCCAACCCCCAACCCTTCCGGCCCCAGCTCAGGCGGCTCCATATTAAACGGCATAAACCACGCCGAACTGGGCTCGCCAAACGCCGCGTGCAGCGCCGCATCCGCAGGGTGCTGGTGCCCGCCATGTCCAAGATGGCCGCCATGTCCCCCATGCCCTCCATGGCCATGTCCATGATGCCTCCCGTGGGGATGGCCGTGCCCGTCACGGCCTTCGGCCGCAGCAGCAGCTGCCGCGGCAGCCGCGGCGGCGTTGTTCCCGTCCGTCCATCCGGCGAGACCGGAGCCGCCAAGGGAAGGATGGTCGACGTGGCTGTGGCCGCCGTACGCGCCGAAAACGAGCTGGCGGTCGAGGCGGGACATGCCGTGGGCCGCGGCGAGGGGCATGGCGAAGGGGTCGGGAGGGAAAAACGACTGGGGCGGGCCATGGTGATGGTGTGGGTGAGAGAAGGCGACGGGGGAGACGGGGGAGAGGGCCGGGTGGTAACCACCCGGGCCATTGCCGGCTACGGCAAGAGGGTTGAAGGAGCTTGGTGGTGCACCGCTTGTCGGGGCGCCGCCATTGGGGGTTGCGTTGGAGAAAGAGCGTTGGTGTAACCGGGCGGCGTGGAGTTGTTCGGCGGTGGCGCGGGCGAAGTCGGTTTGGAGGGGCTCCAGCCCTTGGTCTGGCCCGGGCCCGCCGCCACGAGAGGTGGTGCTTGCTTTGCGGACCATAGATTTGCGCTTGAGTTGCGCGGCAGTGGGCGGGCCGGAACGGGGGATGCCGTTGGCCGCAGCATTCTCGGCGCTTTGTGGGGAGAGGGTGGTGAAAAACTCCTCCACTGTGTGGAGTTCTGGTTTTTGTTCGAGCACGGCGTCGTCCCCCTTTTCTTTCTTCTTGTATGTGGCGGGGTCGAGGAAGTCCGACTGTGACACGCCGTGGGGATAGCGGTCGAACCAGTCGCCGTACTGGAAGATTGGCGACGCTGCGCTCTCGCTAGCGGGGTTGCCTTGCCTCGCGGCATCCGCACAGGTGCGGTATTGTTCGCGGAGGTTCTCCGACATCCAGTGAAACATGCCCCAGTACCGCTTCATCTTGGACAGGAATCTAACATTGGTAGCCAAGTTCCGTTTCGAGGTCGCCTCCATAGTGGGGTTTCCGGAGAATATTCCAAAAATATGGACGGTGCTTGAAAGAAATGCGCAGTACCCGGTGAACGGAGCGGTGATAAAATGCGCCTCGGCGTCTTTGAGGAGCTCTGAGATCCGATTCGCGGCGGCAAAAGCCTTGGCCCCTGCCTTCGTCACGAAGGCTTTCGGTACGTCCTGTAATGAATGGCCGTTCGGTGGTGATACGGCGAATCTGTTCATGAAGAGGATGTTTTGTTGGATGGAGATATGCAGGAAGAGGAACTGGTTCGCCATATTATCGGTCTCGTGTAGTTTTAGGTTCTCGGGTGTGTATGCCAAAGTCTCGGGGAGCTCGGTCAGAAAATCTTCAGTCTGCTTGAGGAGTTTGGTGTACTCCGAATCTGGGTTCCACATCGGGTGAGGATCCATCTCTTTACCACCTTGGTTGAGGTAGTTGATGATGCGGCCCCATACGGCAATAGCCTTGATCATCCAGGCAGCAACCCCCATGTTCTCCTTTGCTTCGTTTGGCTGATCCTCGGAGAGGGGTTCGAGAACCTGTCCATTGAGCATCTCGGTAGGCCCTGGCAAATCGTATTGAAAGTTCTTCTCTTTGATGGGCAACGGAATCTTGAATGTTTCTTCCCGGATGAAAGTCGGCCGGTCCGTCCCCGACGAGTTGAAGCGGTCCATCAAGAAACACGCCCACATTGTCCGTCTCCGAATCTCGCGGTCGATGAAGCTCAGCTGTGTTTTTCCCGGTATCCGCAGAGGGTCGTGTTCCAGGTCTTTGTGCAGCTGGAGAGCGAAGGCCATGCGGATGGCCTGCCCCCTGCAATGACTCAACTCCCGTCCACCGTGACATGTCCCGAATTTCATGCAGGGTCAAGTATCAGCAGACACGTCAGAATCGTGATGTTAGGGCACTCCGTATTCCTTCGTCAGGATATCGCGCGCAGTGGACGCTCCACTCCTCTCTCCGGAGGAAGTTCGGGTTCGTGTTAAGTTTCGGGATGGTTCGAGAACCGTGCTCGCTATGGCGCACACTGAGAGAACGAGGACTGGAGGTAGCGTACCAGCTCTAGAGTAGCTCATAATCAGTATCATCCAAAGGCGATTAGGCGATAGGCGACTTGACTTACTTGAGTTTCCTCATAAAACTGGGCTTGTGGGAGGATATGATACGCCTGGGCATAAATATTTTCCGAAGAAAAACTTT